TATGTCTTAAATAAAACAAGTGCGGCGACTTTGATATATTGTAATCAAATTTCGTCGTTTCTACCTATCTTGCTTCGGGGTCATTTATCAAAATTCTAATAGCTTATTTCCTGTTCATTGGACACTTAGTGTCAATAACATTGCCCGAATTGCTCTTTAACTAATAAATATCTGCCTGCAAAACAGTAAATATATCAGACCAAAGTTCAAAGCTGAATGCGTTAAAATTATTATTCTTATGAGTAAAGTATGAACACAATTTCTATTAATACCTGACGATTGATTCAATATGATATAATATTTGCACAGATATTACCACATTCTTTGACAAAACAATAAAACAACAAATTAATTTTTAACTAAATTAAGATTCATCTTTTCCCAAAGGTCAAACTACATGGAATATAAAACATGATCACGGAGATATTAAGATCTTAAGATAAATTTATCAAATTATTGTGTTTTTATAAAACGGATCTTCTTGCAATACATAATGTCATCAATTACCCAGGGATGTCTTTAGTATTATCATATTCTATACATTGCATAAGACATGGATTTTAATCTTCATTGAGCTACGTCTGAAATGTACAATAACATTAAACAAAATGGTTTGTTTTAGTATTGTCTCTTTATTAAACTGATGTTTCCACTGAAAATTGTCTTACCTCACTTTCTTTATAAACATTCAAATTTAAGTAAGCAAATTGCTTACTAACAGATTATGACATAGTATCTTATACTTTTACAAGTGGCAGCTGTCTGTTTTTCTTTTCTCGCTCTCAAAATGTTAAATGATGACTTATTTTAAATTTCTCACTTACTGAATGATTGCAGGTTTATAAATCTTCATTCAGAAGACTTTATCACTTTAAAGTAAAATTTTTAAAATAAAGTACAAATCACGACATTCCCAAGGTTAAATTTCCAATGACTGCACGGCGAAAGAAGTACAGAAAAAAGGACTTTGTTATATAAATCACACTATAATACATTTAAGAACTTTTAAAAGCTCTATTTTCTAGTCATAGCGCATTAAATGTAACCATTACTTAACGTTTTGTTACCTTAGACTTTTATAAATATGGGTAGAATTATTTTTGTGTGTTAAACTTATCCATATATTATATTAAAAGTTTTTTAAGCCCCAAAAGTGCAATCGTAGAAAAATTATGATTTTTGTTAAATAATTTTTATCTTAAAAGAATCTTTATTCGAGGAATATCTCAACTGACAATAAAATTTAAACGATATTTGACTTTTATCTCACTAGATTTCTATGTAATATACCATACTTAAGAAAACATAGATCTTTGCAAAAAAAATCATGCTTAAGTTGGAAAGTATTTTGGTACTGCTTTCTTAATTTTCAGTTCATTCATTGAACTTGTCTGTAGCTGTTTGTTCATATGTTGATCTTTAATTGAACTCTATGGAAACATTTTACCAAATACTGGAAAGGCAGCATTTAATCTTGTTACGCTTTGGATTGATTAAAATGAACCGCAAATCATCTTGTGCAGAAATATCACAATGTTACAAACAAAATATAATATATCGTGACTGTTGACGCTATTAGCTATAGCGTGGGTTCAGACATATGTCTTTTCTGTTAGAAAGCAGTCATTTGTTCTAGCATTCTAGCAAAACAATATTGCAAGAAAAGCAGTTTCACTTGATTTGAATGACGTGTACCATGCCAAAGATCACTGAAGAGCATCCGTTTATAATGAATCTTCGCACACATTGACTAGCAACATCAGAACAAAGGTTATATAAAATACAAAAATGAAAGAATAATTTCATATCTAACGAGTTACAGTGAGAATATATTATGGTAGCAAACACATAGACCAATGGCTGACAAAAAAAACTAAAAAAGTCTCATTTAAGGTATTTTTTGCCAAGCTCGTCAAGCGTATTTTTTAATTTATAAAATATAAAGTATCCACTGCAAATTTCTTAAGGCATACATGTAAACACCAAGATGATTTAAGGTATAATGCACGCTATCTTATTTCAATATTTTTACGTAACCGGTAGCCGAAACATGTATATATATATATATATCCCCAGGACTAAGGGACGTAGGGGGTGTATATACTTGAACACTATTTGGAAACAATTCCCTGTCCATCTAAACGGGGCTCTTATTTCATGAAAAAGCAAAGTATATAAGTTATTGACATATTTTTTTGTCTCCCGTTTGAAATTGAGATAGAAAACAATTTTGACGAAAAGTGCTTAAATCCGCAACTTTTTATTTGCATCGAAATCGAACAAATGGTGTTTCCACGTTTGACTGATGGACAAATTGTCTCTTGAACACGAGTGCTTGGCTAGAAATGGCCATTCTATAATTTTGAAAACAAAAAGCAAAACAAAAACAAACAAAAAATGTGTATTTAATTCAGGATTACAAACTCAAATATAAAGACCTAAATTTAGAATAATTTGGTTTTCTTTTTCTTTTTACCTTAAGACTATAAGTAGTTGCCTGATGCTCTAGATAGTGAGAGAAAAATTTCAAAAATAGGGCATGGATTTTAATAATAATAATAATTATGGATGATGAAAGTTGTTAATATTTTAAAAAAAAGTCGTCGAACACTCGTAAGAAAACAATAGAAGTTATGAAGTTATGAAGTAATAAGAAATGATTCTCAGTGATGTTCATTAGGGTCCGTAATTCATTATAACCTTATTATGGTTTATACGTTTATCTCAACATTTCGCTACCACGACGATTTTCGACAGTCCCGGTAACTTCAAGATAACCACAGTCGATTGTACATCTACACGTATCTGTTAGACAGTGTCTGAGATCAATGTGTATGCCACCAAAAGTGAAAACTTTAACATGTAAATGAATTAACCTTTCCTTGAACAGATTCTGATATAGAATTCCTCGAATGGTACTAAAGTGATATTTGGCTTTTATCGCACGAGCATTCTGTGAAATAAAGATACATTACCAACATCGTAGATTTGAGCAAGAAATGATAATTGTGTCGAAAGAATAATAAATTTAGTAAAATTCCTCTCGCATTAAGCATATTTTAACTCTGTCCCAATCGTTAAATTTAGCAGTTGAAGATTCTTCTATTATAAAGATATTTATAAGGTTACTATTAAGTCTCATGCGATAAAACACTGATGTAAAATTTTCTGAAGGATCTTTATGCATAAAAGAGAATAATAAATCGACATAAAGTTTCGGCTGTTTCGAGGCCAAAAAGCGTCAAAATGACATGGCAAAATTCAGCCACCACATGATTATGAACAAACGTTTAGAAATCTTCAGGGATTAGAAAAACATAAATAATATCAAATGACAGGCGATATTGTACATGCCTGTGAATTTTCAATGGAAGAAATATATTCACCCTGATCACACTCATTTTACATAATGTATGTAGTGAGAAGAAAATTATTGATTTTGATTATTCATTTAGGCCCGACAAAAATTGTTAAAAAATGCTGTGGAAAAAGGTCTTTACGTAGGTTTAATTTAAGATTTAATTTGACCATACACGTAGCAAACTTTACAATGAGAGTAGATACTTTTATAGTTGGTAATACATGTATATAATTCCTACAGAATAAGAGATTAATAACATGTATAAAAGTGCGATAAAAGTGTTTCAAAATTACTATAAACCCGTTAATAATATACATGTACATATTTAGATAAATAAAAATGCTCATTCTTTCACGGAGAGCCGTTCGGGTTGATGTGTTGTTGGATTTTTCAATGTGAGGAAGCTATCTATACGGAACGTTTGTCGTTCTATTCAGGTTCAAGATTGTGCCTCAATTCATGAGTTTATGCACTTGGATCACCTCATGTCTTACTACACCAGTATAGCCGGTGATTTGTTTTCTAGTTATGTTATATGCACATATGTTTTTTAATGTTTATAGTTCTGTTTTTTTTTTTTTTCTTAATAAAAGTTAGTCTGTTGAAAAAAATGCATTTGTTTCTTATTAAAGTTAATCTGTTCTGAACCATTGCACGTTGATGTGGTTTGTTATTGTCATAAAATGTTTTGGTTAATTTATCGCACATTAAGGTTAAATGTGGAATACAGCAGCGGTGAGAGGCAGGTAGTTTGAAGTCATGGACCCCTAGTGTTGCTACATTGGCTGGGTCTTAGGAAACGTATATAATCATACTTATAAAGATGATGGTCGATTACTACTGATAAGCCGGTACAATACATCATATGACATTTCATTTGTCTCACATGAATTAATCCAATTGTGTATGCATTTTTTTCTGATTTTAATTATGTCAACCGCACCACATATTGATCTTTCTATTGAAAAATTGCAATTTAAAGGCCGTTTTTTTTTCAACTCGGTCAGCCGATTGGTTGACTACAATGTAACATGATATGTTTGCTATTGCAGTTTCAACTAGGGTTTGTGTTTTCAAGATTTACATTTCCTACTACAGACCAGTAGCTTTCGCATCGTAATTGACAAACAAGAACAAAATAAATGCCGTTTACTAAACTTTATATTTCTCATTGTTGTCCTTAGGAATGTAGGAATTTGAAAGGGACAAACCCAGTGGTTCATAATATCTTAAATTGGTCATAACGCTAACGTCAAAGTTGAATATCCTTGCATAGGTGTTTCGTGCATTATACAATTAAATTGATATCACATACGTTCGTTCGAATGTTTCAAATGAAACGAGGTTTCAAAACATTATTTGTTTTTATTGTTTATTTAATAGGCTTTAATGCCGATATTAAAATATTTGTGGTTATATCTCTACGGTCAGTCTACCTTTCTGGTCACTAGTGAATGATATCTCGTTGTTATAGCAAATATTTGTGCATTGTATGCGGTCTTTTATGCTCATCTGTCTACAGATGCGAAATGCAATCTATACATTTATACTTTTTCCCAAACGTTCAAAACAACGTAAACTAAAACCAAGAAAGACACAATCAAACTATTTTTTTTATTCAAATCAAAGGGGAAATATATAACCTCTTTCAAAACAACGTAAACAAAAACAAAGACAAAATCAAAGTACTTTTTTTCTAATCAAAGAGAAAAATGCAGCTTTTTCTATTCTTCTGCTGTTAATTCTGAACTGCCTTAACTTAACAATGATTTTATGAAGTCAATACTGTGCTTGAAACTTGTCCAATTAACCGTCAAACGGTTGTGTGTGGCAAAAAGCATGGATATTTGTATTGTAACTGTCAAGGTTGATACCGTAGAAAGAAACAGATAAACAAAATACATTTTTGAGTTACTACACACAGATGTTATACATTTATATATTTTAGACTTTATTTATTTATTTATTTATCAATCAGTTGGTAAATTAAGGAAAGGTTAAACAATTTAGATTTGTCAATCAGCATTTCGTTATTCCACAACCGGTCATTACTGTTCCAGTTTCTGTGACTGCATAACACCACAAGTGCCCCCATATGAGATTCGGCAAGCGGCAGTAGTTTTCGGCTTCAGAAAACGACGTCTCTGGTAACAGATCCACATTTATGTTATGACTGTAGTCATCCCATCTCTCGCAAGTAATGCCAGTTTCTGTTATGTTTCGTTTTCCTCTATAGCTTCTTACGTCTGTGATAAAGCAATCTGTAAGGAAATTCAATGAATGATATGTTGTCATCTAAATTACTTTCCATCTACACCGGAAATATATTTTGTTTCAAATTAAGACGCATATATTATATAGTCTTACTATTGTAAACATTATTACTTGAAATGATATTGAGCATGGTTTATGTAAAATATTGCACATTTTTTATATCATTACTTTTTACACATATTGTATTTAAAACAACAAGTAAATCAAGAGAAGAGAGAACATATGTTAAACAGCGGGATTTATTATAAACTGGTATAGCCTTTGCTAGGGGGCGTGAGGCATTTTGCACTTTTTCAGTATTCCTCATGTACAGACTCAATCAAACCGAGTCTGCAATTCTTATGTAATTTTGTTGTGATTTATGCTTCCAAGGGATCACTTTCTTCCCAGATTTTTATTAAAGGATCTACCGTTAATGTATTTAAGTTATAAACTGAAGCAAGGCTTTTCCTGCATGCTTAAACATGATTATCAATATGGCAAGTACGAGGGCTGTCCGGAAAATTCGTAGACAAGGCTATAAAATTATTATAAGCAGTCATATCAATATGATGATTGAATATTTTGCTAAAGTATTTATCTGCTACATATTTCTAAATTAAAAAACATGATGAAAGTAATATTCGCAAAGCGCCGATCACCATGGCAACATGATCAACGAATCACGGAGCACTTTGATTTTATGATGATAGCTACTCGAAAAATAAGTTGCTAAAAGTTGTAATTTTAATGCAATCTCTGGTTTTTATTTTGTGACATCATAGGATACTATAACATGATATTTAGTGTACATTATGACGTTATAAGTAAATAAACAGCTTGTTAAGAGCGATTAATATGCAATGAAGGTGCGTAAATTTTGTGTTGCAAAAATGACATCAAATTGACGGACGGAGCAACGTTATGGTATTTAACTTCATAGCAACGCTAATATGGCGCCAACAGAGATTTTAATATTTACATTAAAAACAAAATCAACCATAAAATGTTGAAGGCAACTTGTGTTTAAATGTCAAACAAGATTAAGAAGCGGTGATGCCAGAATTTTGTATGAGAGCGCTCTAGACGACCAAAAGTAGCATGGCCGAAATATTGTAGATTGCGTTACAACATTTTTTGAAAGAGGCAGACATCTCAGACACAGTATGGGAACCAGTGAAATCTTTATTTTTAAATGATAATTTTAAATATGAAATTCATGAAGTAATAGCAAAGGAACTTAACAGGCAGACAGGTACCATGGCTGTTGAAATCGGAAGAAATAAAATAGTTGGTAAACATGAATTTAATTGACGCCGTTGACGTTGTCAAAGTGCTCCATGATTATGTATATATATTGTATGTAAATACTTTTAAAATACAAACGTTAGTCACAGGTCAGTAATTTTTGATAAATCTGTTCGCTAGATATGTATATTTATGCTGACAAAATTTGTACAGCGTATGTATTGTTTTACAATAAAAAATGAAGATGTAACTGAACTTTCCGGACATCCCTCGTAACTACACCAGGCTCTATTAAAACATATCTTCATAGTTTGCATTTTGTTCTTAACGGATTTAATGAATTATTAAGTTTTCGATTAATAAACATTAATCTATATGTTAAAAAAATAATTTCTATTTAAAGCAGCACGCCTCCAGAGTTCTGCTAATTCTCATAAAAATTTCGAAAATGTATCAAAAAGTAAAATATTGTGATGTAAACAACGAAAATACTTTACCCATTGTAAACGGCACTTATAACCGATGTAAATTACAAAAAGTAGGTTAAATATGCAAACATAGTCCTAACTAAGTTGGCAATGTAGTGGAAATATAGTAATTGGTACTACAAAATCAGTAATTAATCGTTATTAGCATGTAAATTTTTACTAAATCTTGGATATTTACTTTTCTTAAAATTAAACATGTTATACATTTTTCTCAAGTTTTATATTCTTGAAATATTTGGTTCATCTGGAGGCATGTAGCTTTAAATAACAACATAAAAAATAAACATAAATATTTCCGTAAAAATAAACATTATGTTTTCTATCAAAATAAAAAAAAAATCTGGAAAAGAAACTCGTCAAAACAGTGCATTAATTTAATACTGTCTGCCTGTAATTTATAAAAATAATTTTATGCATGTATTGAAAAAGCTATATTAATGTCTTTCTTTTGCCCTGGTTGTACTGTATTGAAAACAATATTATCAATTAAGCACTTATATTACAAGCAAAACAAGGAATCCCATTCTCTTGTAATGATCGCACACAGCCGATATAGAACAGTTATAAGATATAGATATCCTAGATATAAATGATTTAATTTTGTCTTATTTTTATTTTAAATTAGTAATGGAACTATAACCAAGTTGTCAAAGGCATACTTTAAAGGCGTACTTTTATTGCTTTCTATCCCCCTCCTTTGCCCTTATAAAAATAACAAAAACAATAATTCTTATTATAATATATTGATAATGATTTGTTTTGTTTCTACGCTGAGGACGATATCAATTTACTTGCTTAAATGCATAAGGCAATTCGGCACTAATTCGTTATCATTTTATACTAAAATAATGTAATAACTTTTATAGATCTTGTATCTATATCGAAGGATGAAAATAACATGCTTTCATCTAGCAATTGCGGCGCGAAAACTCAAAAAACCTGTTTCCTTAAAGGGCTCGGTAGATCCTCGTCCTATTTGTTAAGCTTGACTGATAAATTTTGTAATATCATTCAATAGCATTTATTCTTTATAAGCGCGTGTAGTCTATATCCGTCCAAACCAGAGACCGGGTAATCAAAGGCTTAAATATTTTCATTTCATGGTGGTTTTGGGATAAGTTTAGATAATTTTGTTCTCTACTGAAAATTTACAAACAAGAACAAACTTGATATTACCGTATTCTTCACAAAAGGCTTTCTCCCAGTTACCATTGGATGTGCACGATATTTCGTCAGGCCTGGCCCGGAATCTAGGATCACAATTAACAGTTGCTCTGTCCATGAAATGTGTTCCGGATTTCAGAGAGATATTTCCGTAAGCAATAGAAGGTAGAATCCCACAATCTGTGGTCAAGTAAAAAGAAAATATTCTCAGAAAGTATTGTTCTTCCACAACATTGAACAAGGTCAATGGCATTGTTGAGGCCCTTCACATTTTTATTTAGCAGTGTCACTTTAGAATATCCTTAAAGATTTTAAGTTACTAACAGCTTGATCAGAGTTATTTAAACATCTTCATATTGAAATATTTTAAAGTTATTCAATTGTTTTACTAATTGATTAATCGATTAAGTCAGAAAAAAATGTAAGTTGTAAAATAACTTGACAAATTATATCAATATTGCGCTTCTTTTTTCACAAATTTAAAAACTTCACAATTTCCGCGCATATATTTCCGTTAAACTGACTCTTACATCTTATATTAGTGTTTATGTGGGTTTTACAGTCACATCGGGAGGAAGATTCTTTGAAAACTTGCCGTCTCATAATTATGGATAACAATCACCTTATTTCACAAAACATACGAACTTCGGGGCATCGGTGTTCGAGTGGTTAAGGTCATTGACTTTTAACCATTTGCCCTTCACCACTGTATAATCAAATGTGTATACTAGTAATTATTCGAATCACGCCAGAAACTTTGGATTCATTCATGTGAGGAAATTATCAAAATTATATAAAAAAAAAAAAACTTTTAAGATTAAAGCACTCCTCACTTTCTTTTTACGGAAAAATAATATTCTTTATTAATTAATTCAGTCAATCTCATAGAAAAGATAATTCGGCTTGAATACAGAAAAGAACACATTCAATTACATTTTGATATTTTAAAACAATTGTACATTAACAAAACACTTTTCACTAAGTAGAATTTCTTTTTGTAATAGAAGAAAAAATGACGTTCAGTGGAGACACAAAATTGAATAAAACACAAATAAAACACATGCAGATGTGCGTTTATCTTACTAAAATATCATTTAATTCAGTTATGATAATTTACTCTGCTTCATGGATTCGTTAATTCGTCATAAACATAAATAAACTAAGAAGATATGACAGGAATATTTACCTCCTCCCCTTGTATAATGCAAAGACCCGTTTGCAATTTCCAGTTCTGTCTCTAAAACATGCATACAGCCGTCGCATCTCCTTTTCTCTGGTTGGTAAAATATGTCAACACAGGACGACGAATATTTGCAATACAAAGCACATTGCATATCGCTGTAAACCTTGTCAGTACTAAAAACGCGTTTCAAATCAGGGCAAGTGTAACCATCAAACACTCTATTCCTTCTTAAATCAAAGAATTCTGAAGAGTACAGCAGGCAAACCGACATACCAAGAGCGAAAAAGGAGAGAGCATTAGCCGATGCCGTGTTCCTCATGTTGCATGCGCCTCACGAATCCACCTGAATCAGTAATCTTTTAATTTCATTTCGTTATAACAAATATCGCGCATGCTCATTACTGTCAAAGTTTAGCCCAGAAATATATAAAATTTTAATTATAGTTCTGGCGGATGCCATTCAAATGTGTTTTTGAATGAAAAATATAATGGCGTTAGAATATCTAATAGATCGCCTGTAACAATATATCGCATTGGTTTGTGCCTATTAATTTTTGATATTGGAAATATTTACCATGTCAATTTCACGACAAGAACTGATGTTACATTTTGGTCCATAAATAATTTTAAAAGTAGACATTAAAGACCAAAAATAGAGCTTAAATAAAACTGTTACAATCCCTTGAGATATAGTGTCATATTTTTCAACAACGAGCAAACAAAGTTACAGACTAGTTGCAACTTTATAAAGTAGATAATGGAAGAGACGTGACGATAAACAGCTATAAGAATATAGACACACTTTCGATACCGTTCCTGGAACCAACCAGAACTGAGCAATGAGTGCAAGAAAACGACTTAGTTACTTGTGGCCACGACAAAGTATCTAGTGCGCACGAGATGTATAAAAACATACACATGCCACCTCTGTGCCATTGTTGTTAACCTTTTCCCCATGAGCATATTGTGAAAAATGGCTATTTCATTGAAAAGCCTCCTGTTACAAGTTAAAACTGTTATTAAACTATAAAAATGTTTCAATACTGATGAAACTTGGCACAAATGTTGACTAGACCATTGCCTATGTAACAGCATGCTCGTTCGTAAATTTCCTGTTACCATGGCAACGGGGGACGTCTCAAAATTGCCAAAAATCACTATTTTGCATTGTTTTTTCAAATCTGATTTCAAAGTGCTGCAACTTCTCAATGAATTAAGATAAAGTAAAAGGCTTTTAGCGTCGGTTACTAGTTACCCTAATATCGACCTGAGGTCATTTTTAGTCTGTCACATGTCCAAAATTTATTTGGCGATGAGGGGGACTGCCGCCCCCTTCAAACCCCCTAAACAGAAGGGGCCCTTCTGGCAATCCCCTGATGTATCATATTGATGGGGGCAGCGCCGAAAATGTGGTCACTTTTTTCACAACATTTTTCAAACGAAAAACAGTGTTTGGGGCCTTAATAGAGCAATTTTTTCACTGTTTGAGAACTCAAAAAGGGGGGGGGGCAAAAAGGCCGCCAAAACACGTTTATATGAGGGAAAGGTTAATATCTATTTTCTCGATTGATATTAAAGAGATTATTATGTTTGAAAACGTACTGTTGGTTTTCTCTACTTAAGGTCATCAACGTAGACCGTTCCTGTTCTATGACAGGACGTCTAAAGCCGCATCAGACGAACGAAAAATGTTTAAAAACGGCTTATTAAGTTTTTGAAGCCAGAACTAGGTTTTGTCATGCTCTGATTTCTCAGATTATTTATTAATTCATAATAACGAGATTTAGCTTCAATAGGGAAACTGAGAATATATATATAACCTTAAATACTTTTCAATAACGTCCCTTGAGATAAGCATTTCCAGTTTCATTTGCTGTACCATTGTTCTCACTGCTCTCTGACAAGCATTGTACCGTATACGTTGTAACACAAAGGGGAAAACAGGAGTCGCCAATACATAAAACATCGATTCTATTCAATATATTTTTGACGAATTGCGAAATGTCAACACACTAACCTGGGACACAGGTAATATTTGAGTAATGAGTTACAAGTGATATTTTGAACATTAATATTAATTAATTCTGGAATATTGAATCTCTTTAAAACCACATTTTGTAGTTGATTTTTTTATTGTTCTCCTCGTTCTTTACGATAATTGATTAGATTTTGCAATTGGCAACATTCTTTGCCATTTTTAAACTTTTCATTTAAGCTGGTCATGTGGATATCATAATTATCTTTATTCAAGTTAGGACATTGATATATTTTTGTCATTTTGAGAATCTTTGCATAAATATTTTTCTCTTTTTTCAACAAAAAAGAACAAGAATTTTTGCGATGATGACTTTTATCAAGTTAATTCTAATGTTTTTCTGAGAATTGTGAACTGTCTAAACACGACAGGGTCTGTCGTCACATAAATAGTGATTTTTAAAAAAATGCACGCCAATAAAAAAATTTACTGGTGAAAAAACATTGAATTACAGCCGTGCTCAATTTAGAAACGAGCTGGTACATCAGTAGTACGGTTCCTGAGTAGTAGAGCCAACCTTCTTTAAGCTACCTTTATATCTTGATGACATTATAAATAATCCAAGTTCTTTAGCGGTATAAGAACAGTGATTGTTATCGGCGATCTAAGCAATGAATTACCGAGTGCAAAATAGTGAAAATAGTGAAAATTGTTTAGATATTACTTTGCTAAAACAAAATAAAACACAATAAGGTGTGGAGTTGATATATCTTATAAAACGTATAGATCACTTAATTTGGATGATAAATTTATCACAAACATACTGGCTAAAATCTTTAAAAAATTAAACATTTTGATCAATGATTCGTGATTCCACAATACACCTTTAAGGTATACACTATTTTTTATTTCAATTTACATCGTCGATTTAAATTTTGTAAATATCTGGATGACAATAATAAGTGAAATAAATTTTTAATAAAATTTCTAAAAATTTCTACTACTTGTTCGTTTTAAATAAACGAACAAGAAATTTAAAATATAACAACGAAAGACCGGTAAACATTTCAACTTCATGAAATTTCCGATTTCATCTCCGTGAATTCAAAATTTAATCTTCGTGATTTCACGTTTCCAACATAAAGGATTCATTAATTCACGAATTAACTATTTCAACTTCATGAATTCATGGTTTCAACTTCAAAAATTCAACTTCGCGAATTCACGTTTTGAACTTCACGATTTCACAAATTCAGCTTCACATATTCACAACTTTTTGAATGCACAATTTCAACTTCATGAATTAAACTTTTTGTTTTCACGAAGTTCAAATCGTGTATTCACAAATTTCAAATTGTGAAGTTTAAAACGTGAATTCTTGACGTTAAATTCGTAAGCTTGATTATCATGATGTTAGTCATCATAATATTTAACATCATGATCAATATATTTATTATTATTGGTATCTACGTTATCACAGTGTGTTTCATCAATTGTGGTTCATATATTGATATACGTCGTATATCTGTATGATATAGGGAATATTTGGTCGTTCATCTAATATGGATCTGAACCTGTATATACGTTAAAATTTTTCCTTGATATTCTTAGAATTCTATTGATATTACAAAATTTAATGTTTAACGTAAATATATTTATAAATCAGGGTTATCAGTTGCCATTTTCAGCATTGTCATGCTATGCTATAAACCTTCATTATCTTCATTATCAAGGATTTTTATTCTTCTTTATATGTACATGTCTTTGATAATGTTAATCCTTTGGGCGTAATAAAACTACAATAGATAAATACAGAATCCCTAAAGAAAGCCCAACACGGCAAAATTGAAAATGTTGCAGGCTCGGTTTGATTGAGTCTGTTCATGGACGGTACTGGAAAGTGCAAGTTACCGTCCACGCCCCCTAGCACCAAACATTATGACGATTACAATGTCATTAACTATAAATTGTCAATAATAATGGCCTTTTTCCTCTCATGAAATGATTTGTTTAATTATTGTAAACTTTTTTAAGGCTAACAAGGTGAAAGAATATTGATGATTATCCGAATTGAAAAGGATAGTCCTGGCGACGTCAATTTTGTCATTCGTGACATAATCAATTAATTAATTGTTTGGGAACAATAGGCATACACAATGCTTAATATCTCATTTTAAGCTTTCCTGTCATTACAACTTTAAAGATTCGTTCTCAATATTTCTAGCGGTAAAGGTTACATTCTATTGACAGACCTGTGCAAGGGGTCATTATAGATCTTGCATTTTAATCTTCTCTCATGCATTATTTGAATCGAATCGAGTGTGAAATACTCTGCCCATTTCAAATCGCAATTAAGAGCCGTTTTTCAAAAAAAGTATATCTCATTTGTTTATTACGTAAAATATTTATAAATACATGCATCAAATCCCACTTATGTCAGTTTTATTTTTTTTTTTTTTTTTTTTTTTTTTTTTTTTTTTTTAATTTGCTTTTCGCTAAGATTTACACAGAACTGCAAAAAAAAATTATTGATAAAAAAAAAATTATTTCACTCATTATTGTCATCCAGATATTTACAAAATTTAATATGTACTTACTTAAAACCTTTGTATTGATACTCCTTTCCTATTGTTTTTTCCTCTCTTGACTTGACTCATAAATTGCGTGGCTGGTTTTATAGCATTGCATAGGTCTTTTATCCGTTAGACAATTAATTTGATTACATACTACATACATTAGTTCGAATATTACAAATAAAATGATTTTGCTTCATATTTTTTCTTTTGTTGTTTTGTTTTTGTCGATTTTAAAACATGTTAAGTCATATCTTAGCGGCCACTTAAGTTTTTTTGTTTGTTTGTTTGTTTGTTTGTTTGGTTGGTTGGTTGGTTGGTTGGTTGGTTGGTTGGTTGGTTGGTTGGTAGGGATGGGTATAATTATTTTTAAAAGTAATTTATTAATTACAATAAATTGGAAACTTCCCAAATTACATTACAATTACATAAAATTTCACATTTTTATTAATAAACAACATTAAAATTTAATAATTGAATTTGATGAACAATAAATTATTTTCTAGTGTTAAACTGCTTTTAATATGAATAATTAACATGTTATAACATAAACAGTAACCAAATACAGTAAAAAATTATTTTCAATTATTTTTCACAAAAATATAATACACCTTATGCGATTATATCAATTCATTACAAATCCATAAAAAGCTAACTTGTATTAAAATCATTGACAGGTTAGATTAAATCAATTTTATCACTAATTTGGGAAGAGGATTATCTTATATCAGACAATACAGGTGAAAAAGTATTGCATTTTACCTAAATCAGATCAATGGTCAAATTGTGCATAGAATTCAGTTTAATTT